CAATGCCTCGCTTAGGACCCTCGTGTCTTACTAATGGACTGCAAGTCTCCAGAGAGAAGGGGGGGAAAAGGGGCATGCAAGTAGAGATGAGTAAGAATGGAGCGGGGCGGGGGGAAAGCTTAAACATGGGGATGGGAAATCCATATGATGAGGATAATGTTTGAAAAATAATAAGGGGGAGCAGAATGGATGTACAATTGACTAAGGACTTGCGTCATGCAGTGGGGGAGGTGATTATTATTTTTTAACACAAACAAAGAGGGTTGGTCACTCTTGTACCTCACTGGGAATAAAGGGAGATTTTCTTCCTATGCCGACATCATTAATACTCTGGATTCCTACCGGGACCTTTTGTTTTTGTACAAAAATTGTTGCGACAAAATAAGACTCTTTTCTGGTATAAAGGGTGCAGAAAAACTCTTGTCTATGGAGCTAAATTACTCTCGAAAAGATTCACAAAGCGTTCGACAAGATCTGCATGTGTACAACACAATTCACAAACGTGCATAAAACAACGTATAAAAACGTATCTCCGAGATTCTGCTCACATACATGTAAGCAGAATCTCAAATGTATGCTTTTCAAGCGGCAGAAGCAGTAATGCACTACGCGTGCACGAATCGCAAACTGCGGACGGATCATCCTGCTCGTGCTTTCACCTTTTGAGACTTTCATCCTGCATGGGATGATGCGTTCAGGGCTGGTAAAAAGCCGGGATAGAATTGCAGTGCTGCGTTCAAAAGAGACTTGACAGAATTCACATTTATGTAAAATTTCTGTTACTTTTGCAAGGATTATTTTCAGAGGCATAACATTATAAATATGTCTAAGTATGACTTCTAGCAATGGATGACTGTCCAAACCGATGGCCTCAGTCCTATTTTTAATACACTGACCTGTGTTTAAGTTATTTAAGACACTACTAGCTTCCTTTTGAACCACTATGCTTAACTTGGGTTTTCTTTTCCTTTGATATCATGACTCTCTCATCCAGTCCGCTGTCAGAGCAACACAATAAAAGCTCAAAATCAAGCCTGCCCCTGACGTCAACCTTCTGTGCAACGCGCCTTCGCTAACTCTTAAGACTCTGTAATAAAAGGAATTCAGCTACCCCACGACGGCTGCCCGTTCTCTCCTGACGGCCCTTTGTAGCACGTGTAATGATGAACTTCACACCCTGCCACCCAAGCGTTGGCTCCAGGCTTCACTCAAACACCCCACAGATGCATTCTGTCTTCCTTGGCTACTCTTATCCTTGAGAAAGCCAATGACCTAGAAAGGGGCTTCGATGATGGGCTCAGACTGCGATTTACCCGTTTGAAACAGACTGTTTTGTAAAACCGCGGTAGGGGAAAGGCTAGACTGAAATCAGGTGGGGCGTTTTTGCCTGTAGTATAACGTTCACCGTTCGACAAATGCTGGCTGATGCGAACTCATCGAGCGCTTCGCCACTCCCTGCCCATCTTCCCTCAGGGGAACTCCAGTACGCAGCTCGCCTGACCCAAACCACCGACCTCTCTCCCTTTCCTCCGTATCCATTCTTCTCCGTACCCCCATCCTCTCGGTGTTTGCCCTGACTTCCCCACCCTGTGTTGACTTTACCAGTGCCTTCCTCTCTTTCCTGCAGTTCTTCCTCTTCCCCCTCCCCGTCTCTCTTTCTCCTTTTGTGCTTGCCTCTGACATGTTTCATAGTCAGAGGCAGACTTGGAGTCCCAATCTATCCCTGCCTCCTCTCCTCTACACTCCATGGCCTGAAGACACCGGTATGTGGCTGCACATCCGTGCCAGACACCAGACTTCAGAGCGAACTGTGAGACAGTTTGCCTGGATGTGACAGGACTGCTGCATTAGCTAAGCACATTCTGTGTCATTTTTATGAGGAGGAGAATGTTTTTCCCAGACGAATTAGTCTGTGAAATGCTGCACTCAGACTTCCAGTGGCTAGAATGAATAAAGCCATCTAATACAGCCGTCGTGTCCTTTTATATTCTCTGATTCCATCCATTTAGCTCCCCTGTGGCATTTAATGAGGCATTTCATATCCTTTTATTATTTGTCGCTGATGTTTTCTAAACCATTGAGTCCTCACATCACTTATGATTGAATTCTGTCCTGAAGGCTGCCTGTTGATAACTTTCCTTGGCGTAAACCGGGAAGGAAATGCATATATGTATATGGTCCGAACATTCGACGTTCGACTTTCAGACGACGTTCACGGACGTACTCCAAACATTTTCTTGCTAGCAGGGTAGTTAGGCTAGAGAAGCAGTTGGTTAGAGTGCTGGGCAATGTTTTAATGAGGAAGAGTCTCACAGCAAGGTGAAAGCACAACCTATACATTAACCTAACACAACCTTGTCCATGTTGTGTGTCGTTCAAGGGAAAATAAACAAACGCGTGAAGAAAAGCTGTTATAATCTGCTTTAATTTTCATGAATGCGTATTTCTGAAACTAACACTTTGTGGAAACTCTTTGCACATCTTCCGTCAGTTGGTGAGTCTGAGTAAAATGCAATGAAGTTCAGTTTCCAGTCAATAGAAGGTACAAAAAAATCCACAATATTGCCACAGAACAGTGAGGACAGCAAAAAAAATAGCAGATACGGGACGACTGACTTCACAAAAATTATCAATTTTTCCAAACTTAATGAAAAGATGTGACTAAAACCTCAAGGCTGCAGAGAGGCTGAAGGTATCACTGAGGGAATTACTGCTTATATTCTCCATACTGTTGCATTAGTTAGTAGGTTTCCAACGCACAAAACATCCCAAAAAGGGAGACGGGGACACTGTGAAATATCCAGATAAAACACAAATAAAATTTACAAGATTATCATCACCATTCTTTACCCACATGTTGGGGGTAATGCTACAATCTGGGGTGGCTTTTTGTCAGGTGGAGCTGTGGTTTTTGTGAAGGTGGGTTTAATAATTCCTTATAGTTTCCGTTTTGGTCAAAAGAGAGAAGAAAAGATTTTAATTTCCAAGCTGTCAGCGATTACACCCAAATCCAACAACAACAACAACGAAAGTTTAATCTGAGAGTTAAAGCATGAAAATGATCCAGGACTAAGTTTGATGGAAAATTCTTGATCTAGAGAATGTTTGCTTTGTCGATTTGGCAAATATTGTCCAATCAAGATAAGAGACTGGACAATATTAGCAGGCCAAATTCATGCCCTGTTAAGATGGTGGACCATGTTCATATTCATGTTTTTCTTTAGTATAAGTTGTGTCGAGGCCATCTGCTTTGTAATGTGAACAAGTCTGGGTCAGGACACAGGTGCACTTTTAAGCTGCTGATGCCAGCGCTGGATTCTGTGATGTTATTTCACGCTTGGGACGGAAACGAATAAAGAGCAGGGGATGGAGTGCTCTAAAAAGAAAACTTCCAGCTTTGAACCTTGATAAGCACCTGTTCAAATGAGATTCAAAAAAGGAATATACAGATTGTTCAGCTGGCGAGTTACAGTAAGTCTCTCGCTGTTTGATCTCCTCCTGTAGAGCATTTCTTGCTTCGGTTACTTTCATTGTTTTCCCATCTGCATTGGATGTGTTGGATTTTGAAGTTCATCTTTGCACATTCACAATGTTCTTACTGTTTGACTAGCAGTAAGAACATTTAGGTTTTTTTTTTTTTTTTATCTGTGTTGCCTTTTATAAGTAATGTTAGTTTTCATGTTGCGTTGATTGCTGGGGTTTCATGGCTGCCTTACAGCTAAGGAAAAGTTTTAATTGTCCCTTAATGGAGAGTCTGTCAATTAACTTAATCCCTGAACCTTAACGCTTAATTTCTTTTTAGATATGATCTATAATAAATTTTCCTCAGCGTTCCCTCCCATCAGGCCTCTGTGTACAGTCCTGCTAATGTATGCCTTTTCTTGCTTGCCATACATCAGTTTACTTACTCAAATTGAGATAAATATGTTAGTCAGCTCTGATCTATTGGATGAGAAACATGGGAAAACATGTTTTTGATGAAGACATGCGAACCGATAGGCAATGCTGTCTTTTAAAATGCAGATGGCTCTCCCTAGTTGGCCAATTAGTAACTTTAGCAGTGGAACACTTATCTGCTTTCATCTGCTTGTGCGCGCATGCGTGCGTGCGAGCGTGCGCGCATGCGTGCGTGCGTGTGTGTGCGCGTGTGTGTGTGCGTGTGTGTGTCTTTCATTTTGGGATGCAGGCAGCTTAGTTTGCCCATTTCCACAAGTGTGTAGGGGCCTTTGTGCACATTCATGTCTGTCTGCTGCAAGAGCACTAAACCGTACATACATTTACTCATTCACCTTATACTATGCTATACTCATTCACACAAACACAACTAGCTCATCAACTTCCTAGTATCCATTCGAATTGTAGGAATTTGTCAGGAGAAATGTAGGCAAGTACTATAAAACTTCAACTGTCTGCAGGTCAGCGCAAACGGGGTCTGCACAATTCACAGAATACGCAACAGTATGACTCGGTATGTTTCACCACTGTTCACCCAAAACTGCTTAAGAATAAAAAAAGAGGGGGTTGGAGCGAAAGGAGAAAAAGAGTTGAACAGTTCAGGATGAAGTTGTGGATAAAACAGAAAAGTTCACATCACCAATTTGGTAGTATTTTAGATACTTAAAGCAAACTCTGAATCGATCATTTTTGATATCGACCGATATAAAATGTTTATATTGTGACACTTTTTTCAGCCAGGCTTTTGAGAAAGCCCTCCAGTCAGTGGAGTTTAAAAAAAAACTGGTGGGAAAGTGTCTTTCACTGAACTAAAGCTTGGCAAAGTAACGTGCTGCATTCCACCAGCTTTGCCACTGACCTCAATCTTTTCAGGAAACATTCACAGAGAAAATAGGATCAGAGATTAAACATTAATATCAGAATTTAGGCACATAATGGGAATTTAAACGAGACACACACTGGATTGCCAATAATGAATGTTCTTGATTTTTGCTTTATGGAGACTAAGTTTCTGTATTTCTTTTGTCTTTCTTCATATCTTGCAGATCATGACCAGAGTTCACTGAGCTCCATTTTGCATGGAAACCCTGCTTCCCTGGCAGCCCCCTCCTCTCCCTAAAGCTTGCAGCCAGCATGGCAGGATGAGCTTCTGCCAACGATAATAATGGCTAAAAAACAAGATGCCCGGGCTCCCATCTACAACCTGGTCGTGGTGGGGTTGTCTGGCACAGAAAAGGAAAAAGGCCAGTGTGGCGTGGGCAAGTCCTGCCTGTGCAACCGCTTTGTTCGGCCGAGTGCGGATGACTTCGACCTGGATCACACCTCCGTTTTGAGCACCAGTGACTTTGGAGGCCGTGTGGTGAATAACGACCACTTTCTATACTGGGGAGAAGCTGGTAGGACAATAGAAGAGGGGCAAGAGTGCCGCATGAATGTGGTGGAGCAGACAGAGTTTATTGATGACCAGACATTCCAGCCACACCGTAGCACGGCACTCCAGCCTTACATCAAGAGGGCAGCTTCCACTAAGCTGGCTTCAGCTGAAAAGCTGATGTACTTTTGCACAGATCAGTTGGGCCTAGAGCAGGACTTTGAGCAAAAGCAAATGCCTGAAGGCAAGCTCATTGTGGACGGCTTCTTACTCAGTGTTGATGTCAGCAGGGGTATGAACCGTAGCTTTGAGGATCAGATGAAGTTCGTTGGCAATCTGTATAATCAACTAGCCAAAACGAAGAAGCCAGTGGTACTGGCTCTCACCAAATGTGATGAAGGAGTTGAACGCTACATTAAAGACTCTCATGCTTTTGCCCTTGCCAAGAAGAACCTACAGGTGGTTGAAACTTCAGCCCGCTCTAATGTCAATGTTGACCTGGCATTCCTTACTCTGGTTCAGCTCATAGATAAGAGCAGGGGAAAGCCCAAGATTATACCATATTTTGAGGCTCTGAAACAGCAGAGCCAACAGATCGCCTTAGCAAAAGACCGATATGAGTGGCTGGTTACCCGAATTGCGAACAACCACAACGAAACATGGCCCGTCGTCAGTCGTCGCATGCAGACAGCTCCTGAGTACAAGGAATATGTTTTCCTTGAGGGAACGCCGAAGGCCAAGAAGCTTTTCCAACAGCATGTTCACAGACTAAAACAAGAGCACATAGAGAAACGCAGGAAGGCCTATCTAAATACTCTACCACAGGCCCTGTCTGTGCTAATACCAGAGTTGGATGAGATAGACCACTTGAGTTGGTCTGGAGTTCAGAAGGTCTTGGAGACAAAGAGAGATTTCTCTCAGTGGTTTGTAGTTTTGGATGACACACCTTGGGAGACGACACCGCACATCGATAAAATGGATGACGATCGAATCCCCCAGGACCTGCTGGAAACCCCTGCAGCTGAAACCATTTATGAAACCCACTTGGATCAGTTAAGGAAGGAGCGCAAACGGGCCGAGATGAGATGGGAGTTCAAAGAAAAGCTAAGTGTTTCTCCTTTCATCACACCAGGGAAACCGTGGGAAGAGGCTCGGAGTTTCATCATGAATGAGGATTTCTACCAGTGGCTGGATGAGGCTGAATATTTAGACATCTACAACAAACATCAGAAGGAAATCATTGACCGGGCCAAAGAAGACTTTCAGGAACTGCTTCTTGAATACTCTGAGCTATTTTATGAGTTAGAAGTGGATGCAAAACCAAGTAAAGAGAAAATGGGAGCCATTCAGGAGGTGCTGGGCGAGGAGCAGCGATTCAAAGCACTACAAAAGCTACAGGCAGAAAGGGATGCTCTAGTACTGAAACACATACACTTTGTTTACCATCCTACAAAGGACACTTGCCCCAACAGCCCCCACTGTGTTGACAGTAAAATTGAGCAGATACTGGCTTCCAGATTTCCTACCAGATATGCGTCATCAGACAGCGCTAGACTGGAAGGTGGAAGGGCTGAACGGATAAATCTGGTCATCCTAGGGAAAGACGGACTAGCCAGAGAAATGGCTAACGAGATCAGGGCATTATGTACTAGTGATGACAGATATGTAGTAGATGGCAAGATATACGAGTTAACCCTTCGCCCTATAGAAGGCAATGTACGTCTGCCCGTTAACTCATTCCACACACCTACCTTCACACCACACGGATGCCTTTGTTTGTACAATTCAAAGGAATCCCTCTCGTACGTTGTTGAGAGTTTAGAAAAGCTTAGAGAGTCAACCATAGGCAGAAGAGAAAGGGAAAACAGCTTAGCTCAACTCCCACTGTCCCTACTTCTGGTCACTAAGCGTGGTGTTGGTTCCATTGGGGATATCGGAGGAGAAACGGCTCAGACTCTAATACAACAAGGGCAGCAGGTAGCTGCAAAGCTTCAATGCACCTACCTAGACCCAGCCTCCCCAGGTAAGGGTTATGGCCGCAATGTCAGTGAGAAACAGCTTAACCAGATGCTGAGAGGCCTCTTAGAAACTCGGAGAAACATTGGGACCGGCTCCCCTACATTACCTCCTTTATCCTCTGCTTACAGAGACTCTCAGTCTCAGCAAGGCAATGAGGCAGACCTCCGAATAGTTATGTGCCTGATGTGTGGGGACACATATGATTTAGATCAACTACTGGCACCTTTCCTTTTGCCCCAGCATTGTCGTCCTACATCAAGCCACAGCAGCGGCACGTCCGTTCTCTTGGATCTTGTCATTGGGGGTCACAGACAGAACGTTGAACTGTCTTTGCTCTCTTTCCACTCCTCGTTTTCCCTCCGAAAGACAGGCCTGGTCCACGGCTACATTGCAGTTTACTCTGCCCGCCGTAAAGCCTCCATGGAGACGATGTGTGCTTTCCTTTGTGAGGTCCAGGACATTGTGCCTGTCCAGTTGCTAGCAGTAGGGGAGAGTCAGATGGAGTTGTCAGACTCTGATTCAGCTAAGGAGCAAATCTGTCAGGGAGAGGATCTAGCCCATGAAATCAGTGCCAGATTTAGCACAGTAATATGCGGACATGGTGGGGTAGTGGGAGGACTTCATAAGATAGACCTTTTCCACTCCTTCTTACAGGAGGTGATGGAGAAGCGCACTGTTGTTGAGGCCGCACACATGTACGATAATATAGCCGAGGCATGTACCAATGAGAGCTGCGGGTCCCCCAGTCCAGTTCACATCCATGTTGACTCAGAGGATGATATTGACCCATCGCCACCTTACCCTACACTTAGGGAGGGTGGTAGTCTAAGTTCCCACCTGGGAAGTTTCAAGCTGCCAGACCTGGAATCGAGTGATAGATTTTCTGTCATTTCTGATATTGGTACATTTGAAAGCAAGCTAAATAACAAGGTGCCTCCACAAGTGAAGCCCAAGCCTGTGCGTAAAGGACCCTACGGTGATCAGCAAGGCACCTCTAACAGACCCGTCTTGCCCCAAACTGTCACCTGGGCTCCAGGGAGCGACGGAGGCTACGACCCCTCGGACTACGCAGAGCCTATGGATGCTGTGTGCAAACCTCGACCTACTGAAGAGGAGAATATTTACTCTGTCCCCATCGACAGCACACAGGGCAAGATTGTCACCATCCGCAACGCCAACAAGGGTCACACCAATGGAAGTGCTGCGGGCAACGGATCTGACAGCGAAGCTGACAGCAGCTCACTGGAGCGCAGGAGGAAGCTATCCGTTTTTGGTGAAAAGCCTAAGCTTTACAGAGACAGGTCCCAACGGCTTGGAAAATTCAGCAGTTTTAGGACAAGCTTCTCTCTTGGCAGCGATGATGAGACGGGTGGTCCGCCAAAGACAAGCCAGGACGATGGAGGACCTCAGAAGGACAACTCCATAGATGAGAGCGATGATCACAAAACAATAAAGATTCTCCGGGGTCTCCGCAGAAATACCAAGGTTAGTAACTGTGCCACCAAGTGTTGTATGAGTAGAAGTAATTATATATCCAACCAATGGGAAGTGCATTCATTATCCCAGTAAATTTAAAAACGTTTTAAGAAAAAGATTTCTCATCTTTGAGCAACCTGGTACAACATTAATTATAAGCAGACCTATCAATCTTATGCTGTGGTTAAATTTAGAGTAGATAATTTGGAAAGTATAAACATTTGCTTTCCTCATGTACACAGGAAAGCAGAAAATCACCCCTTCGTAATTATTTTTTGGCTAAGACCCAGTACTGTTTGCTCTGGTGGATAATTGTTTGTTACTGAAGTTAAGAAAAAGCAGGGTTTAGAAACATCTCTCTGCTGTTTTAAAACTGACCCCAGAGCAAACATGTCATGCTGTAGGGACTTCTGAAAGCATGCCTGCACGCCATATTCGTTTCTTGACCACTCAGTGGGAGTCCCCTAAACTAGCCAGATCATCAGTGGGAAAGAAATCTGACAGAATACGGCTTCATACCAGAATCCAAAATGTCTTAACGATTGGGAACAGAGCCCCATTTGGTTTGTTTTGTGCATATGTGTCCAATGCTTACTGTCAGCTCTTCTCCATGATAAAAAAAAATAATAATAATCATGAAATCACATGAAAAGTGAGAATAAAATCTCAGCAAGGAAGGCTTCTTTTTTTTTTTTTTTATTCCCAAAATTAAAACCTTTCTAGTGGGAAAAGTAATGTTAATATTTTCACTATTTATTTTCCCAATGTGCCTCTTGGCATGAATCTCACTCTAGATGTGGGTAACAACCCAAATAGTTCACACACAAATAAATCAGCTCAAATAAGTCCTTAAATAAAGCTGTGTGAAATGATGTGTAATTACTTTGAACACATTCACTAAAGTTGAAGTATCTTATCAAAGTAAGAGCTTCTAAATTTCTCTTGCAGACAGAAAAACATGCATTGCTCAGGTGTGACTTTAAACACCACTCAGATTCATTCCTGGGGTTTCATCCATGCTCTTTGATCTTCAGAGGTTTCCATAGATTTTCATTTATATTCAAGTCCAGTTTTCTATTCTAGTAGCTTTGTATTATTTCTCCGATGCCAGTTGAATGTTGATTATAAGCTTTATAAGTTGATTCTTTTGCAGTACGTTGGTAATAAGTGACTAAACCCACTGATATTATTTTTGCACAGGATTGCTTCCTAAACATTGCCAGATTCCACTTATTTTCTTGGCTTTCTGTGCTTTTCGCAGGTTATTTTCTTCACTTGTTCAGTCCCCATTTCCTATATCATTCCACTTTATCACACGTAATTTCTGGACTTATTTTATTACATTTCCAGGCATGGATTACTTGGGTTGCCACTGACAAATAAAGTTAGTTTCATCTTAATAGGACCAGAATATAATGGCGCTCTCTGTTGCATAATTTGCTAAATTCCACAGTTACTTTTTTTCACAAAGTTGCCATCAAATAAAAGGCTGTGATGGACACCAGTGCTATTTTCTTAGCTAAGGCATCACTGCTTACTGTTCACTTTTTGTTGTCACCGCAGTGTAGTCTATGCCAAAGCCTGTCAGCTTTCTTTAAAGACTCATGATTCGTCCCGGCGACAGTTTGGCTTTTTTACTTCCTTCCTTTCATTATTTGCTGCTCTGTTTGTTTGTCTTTGCATCTCGCTGATTCATACATTCTGCTTCTCACGTTCTCATCATTCTGATTGTCTGTTCATTTCACGCCTCCTTTTTGCTTCGCTTGTCTTCACAGCTTATTTTTTTCTTTTATTTTTAAAGACGGGTGTCTCCCTGTCACACCGCGTCCTGTTCCCTTCCCACCCTTGACACTTTTGACCTCTTACACCAGGCTGATTGGCCCTGGTATGCTGCTCATTCGCGCACATGGTGCGGCGCTGAAGTGCCAGCTGAAGCAGGAGTTGCAGCTGTGCATGTTGCGCTTGTATATCTGTGATAATTGCCATGGCTGTCAGGAGGGTGGAGAAGGAGGCGGATGATGAATGTTTTTAGACACTCAGCTGGGATGTACCTGCACGGAGGTTGTCGTCTCGCATTATTCAGCCGCCCGGACTACATTCTGCAGCGCTCGAGGCCATATGTCTGTCAGGAAAAAGTACGAACAACTCAGTCACGAGAAGACATCTGGGCTTGCAATCTGCGTCTTATGCAAATTGTCACGTTGGACGTTAGAAAACATCCAACATGCGCAGAGAAATCCCCGAGAAAGCCGCAGCCAGTGGAGTGCGGGTCTGTGTCATCCTTGTTATTCTTTTAAGTGCCTCTGATTTGTGGCATGCAGCTGGTCTGGGAACTTGATGGCCACATTACAAGCTATTATGGATTTATTATGGTTACAACAAAGGATTAAATTTCTTCACCTATTTTATAAGCAGCTGTCTCGGCCATTTACAGTCTGCTGCAGCTCGAAATCCCTTTCAGATTACATTTTATTGAGTTCATTTTTCTTATTCAGGAAGACGTGCTGCAGCAGTTTGTGCAGGCTTGTGTAAAAAGTCCTGTCCCCATTTTTGTTCCAGTTAAACTAAAGCTAGATGTTTTTGTTTATTATTTTTTTTGACAGTTATTCTCAAGATAAAGATTTGGGTTCCTGTGCTGCAGCATAAACACTTTCCTGGGTGGAGCTTTAGGTTACTGTCTACCACTCTGACTCATGACGAGTTAAAACAAATATTCAAAAGGAGTTTGAGCTCATTTAAAAAAAAAAAAAAAAAAACTTCAGGCATTGACCAAGTCTGTCCACCCTGATCTCCCTCCCTCACTGAGACACAGGAAAGATTTCCTCTCTCTCTCTGTCTCTCTCTCTCTCTCTCTCTCTCTCTTTCTCTCTCTATCTCTGTCCTGCAGCTTTTTGTTGAAATCTCCTCAGGCAGCGAGAGGAATGTTTGAAATTCTTCAGACACCTAGTTCATCTGGTGTCTTCATTCAAGCAACAACAACAAAAAAGAAAAATAAGAAAAAAAGAGTTCAAGATATTGCGGAAACGGGGAAACAAATTCATGTCAACTCCAGAAGCGAGTCGTGTTTTGATGTCCTACGGTGTGCGTGTGCGCAAGCTCTCCCCGTGATGTCTCTATAAGGATGTGATTTGTTTCGTTTTGGTTGTGTTCAAGGGCTGCTTTGGCTTCTTAGAGCTGGAGACGTATCCTGTCTCAGTTAGCAGCAGAAAGGAGTGGCCAGAAGGCAAAACTGCAGGGGGAGAAGACAAGCCCAGCAAGAGTAAGAGAGAAGAAGAAGCGTGTGGGTTACAGAGACGGTCTGCTAAAATGAGACGGCAACACAGTTACTGTGATGGAAGTGAAATAAATTAGATGCTGCCAAACTGAACCCGGCACATCTCTGCCTAGTTATTCTCCTGTGTAAATATATGCACTCTTTACTTCTTTATCACATTAGTTCCGCGTTTACATTTGACTGCAGAATGTGAATGCAGATATCAGGAGTGTTTGGACAGATCGGACCGGTTGGAGGGACAGATAGCAGGCGGCGAATGACATGCAAAGACATTTTTAGGGCTAGATGTTAGTAATCTGGTGACCTGATGTGGCGACGGTAAAGGAGAGCTAAGAAATTTTAAATCTGCCTTCAGCCTACCTTTAAAAAAAAAAAAAAAAAATTCTTAGACTACAGTGGCAAACGTATTGGCTTGTCATCCTTCACACACATAAGAACTTGAGTGACATCCCGCTCTTAATCCGAAGGGCTTAATAAAATGTCACACAATCCTCGGCGGCTATCACAGCTTGAGCTCTATTGGGAAGGTTTTCCACAAGATTACGGAGCATGTTTAAGGCCATTTTTAACCTTCCCTCAGGAGCTTATTCACGACATCCTACTGCCAAGTTCTTTAAAGCGCACTGCCCCGCTTGAAACGGATAGACGTCCACACAGATGCTTCAGCTCCAATGAAAAACTGTCGTCTTTTTTTTCCTCCTTCATTTATTTTCAGTCATGAAATAATAGAAAGATTAAAATCTAGAATAGAGGAAGGAATACTCAAGGTTGTTGTTTAACCATGAGTATTCCTCATTTTAGTTTAGTCATTAATCCGTTTATGACTAAACAACCATTAACTTGAATAAATCATTTAATCAACAGAATTAAACTTTAAACAAATTATGGCTAAATTCAAAATCTGTCAATTATTTCATAATACTCTTTTTTTTTTTTTTTTTTTACACCACATGTCAAACTTGAAGCCCGAGGGCCAAATCCGGCCCTCCATTACTTTCTACATGGCCCTCTAGACTCAAAATAAACACATAAAGAGAACCTTCAAGGTAATAGCTGTATGCTTAAATAATGTTTTATCAAGAAAATCACAGCAGTCTTCATCTGTTTGCTGCCAAATTACATCAGTACGAAAAGCTGTTCGACTTTCAGAAGCTCTCATTGAGTGCAGAGACAGCTATTTATTCATATTTTAATGGTTTGTTTACTGGTTTTATAAATGCATTCTGCCACAAGCGGCCCCCCTTTTGAGGACCTTCATAATCTCGACTTGGCCCAAAATGAAAATGAGTTTCACATAGAAACTCTGATACGAACACGGTTACGTTTTCAACGAGCCGGTGAGACAAACTGTAGAGATCGCTTTTTAAAATCCTGAGCTGTGCAAGTCGTCTCCAAATGTTAAAAAAAAAAGATTTTTACACAAAAAAAACAAACAAATTTCACTTGTGTTGGTTTTCGGTCCTGCCGGTTGTGGGAATACAAGCTGTAATGACTTCTCCCTCTGCTTGAGCACTGCTGTGAGAGTAAATGTGTCCATAAATGTGATCAAAAATGTTTGGCGGAGTGAAGTGAGGCCGGTATCTGGAGCAGAGGGCACATTGGTGCTTCTTCTCTCTAATGAGCTCTACTCCAGCTCTTTTCCTGCCGTCTGTCCGTCTAGTCGTAGTGCTGCACTGCAACCACAATCTGTGTGTCCAGCCAACCATGCACCTCTGCTTCACCCCACCATCTCCCCCACAGCCTGCCAGGGCAGTGCCTCTGGGGCTGTTGACAGAGTTACTGCAGATCCAGGCCTCAGGGGTTGTGTGTGAGGGGGGCTGGGAGGGGCGGCCTTGAAAATATTCCCACTGATCGCCATTAAAGCTCTGCACAATTACTGCTGTTGCCCTCGGCTGTTTGAGGGAACAGGCAGAAAGTGTTGCGGGAGCGCGTAAGAGGGCTCTTTACAGGAAAATAAAGGAGGCCGAAAAGTAATTAACCGCTGAATAACAGTTTGATTGTACGAGAGCTGCAACGCAGCGGAGGGAGGAATTCAAAATGGCAAAAGGAGAAGGATGAAGAGCGATAACGGCGATGTGTATCTGACTGAGGGAAACGTCAGGGCTTCAGATAGGAATGTGTGATTTTCTTATCGGCTTAGCCTTCAGGAGGTATGTGTGAGAGAGAGGGGTGTGTACATGCACGCTTGGCCTTTTTGTACAATAAGCATGAATATGCAGTAACTTTCCAAAAAAAAGATAAAGGTCGTGGCCTTTGTGCTACATGGTGGATTTAAAAAAAAAAAAAAAAAAAAAGTCTAAAATTTGCCTTAGCCAGTTGTCCCAATCACAGTTAGTGTCACATAATGTTGTATTTTCTGTCTGATTTCACCAAGCAAGCTGTGTTATTTGTTTTTGGCAGAAACAAACTCGGTCCAAGCCCCGGCACTCCAACTCCAAACCTGTTGAGAGCAACTACTTCGGCATGCCGCTGGCTGCCATGGTCACTGTGGAGCGACCGATCCCCGTCTTCATTGAGAAATGCATCCGCTTCATAGAGACCACAGGTAAGAATCTGCTCGACCCGACTTTGATGCGTCACACAGTCAGACATTTTCTTTCAGTGTCTCTTGTTACGCATCTGTACAAAAGTCTGTAATTACCCCTAAAGGGTTTTATTTGGATGGGATGCGATGATCCGACGCAGAACTCGGCACCGTCGTGATGTGTTCAGAATAGGATAAAATGTCTTGAAATGTTTTTTTTTAATGCAAATTATCCAATAATGGATAAAATAATGCAATTACAGCTACAAGTCCTGAGGAGCATGTGAGTTTTACATTTATTTTTTTTGCAAATCGGCTCAGATTCAGTCGGACGTCACGTAGTCCTGTCACACGTCCTCACTTGTATTTCGGTCCGGGCTTTGACTGGACATCCTTTCTGCAGCTAACAGTGGGGACGTTGTGCTCAGGGGTGATGTGCAGTGTTAGTTTTCCACCTCACAGCACGTTGAGCTGTGGTCCCGTCTCACCTTTCGGGTGATAGTTTAAACAGTTCGGGTTTGTTTACCCGCTGTTTGCTCACTTCTCTAAAATCTCTGAGGCCCTTGCAGAACCAGCGGGTTCATTCACAGATTGTTACACGCACGTAGTAGGCTCTTCTTTTCAACTTCCTGAAATGGACTGTATGTAAAAATATCAGAGGAAGCTGAACCAAACATAAATGCATGCCACACCTTCTCAGATTTTTGCTTTTTAAAAAAAATTTGAACAAGTACAATTGACCCCCAGCTTGACCGTCGCGCTGGTTTGTGTCACATAAACGGACGGGGTGTGAATAATTTTGCACGATACAGATTGCGAATATTTTCTTTTCATTTTCCGCCGTTTTTCTTTTTTTTTTCTTTTTTCAAAAAAACAAAATAGTATCAATCGTGGAGCCGAACAGAAAAGAACCCGGTCGGGACGGAACGTCGCCTTACTTTATTTTCCTTGAATGCAATTACGTTGCCCTTCAAAGCACATAAAGCACCCTCGAGCCACGTTTCCCCCATCACAGCGATTTTTAAGCCAACCAAATGGATTCAGCAAATAACGTCAGACCTGAAAGACCAATATGCTCAGGTTAATGTTGTGTTTCAGTGTTTAGGTTACAGGTCATTAGTCTGGTGTCAGCAACAATCTATACATCCAGTTTTTTTGTGTTTTTTTTTTTTTCCTCTCTCGGAGCACAGATGTGCACAGACAGCCTCTTGTAGCTTTTCCACCCTGCTGCCCAGATGCCAGGCTCTCTGCCAGGCGGCTCCGATGCTACGCTGCCCCGGCTGTGCCAGCTTACTCTGCCACCAGCTGTTAACCTAAACCAGAGGCTGAACTGTGATGCTGATCTCTCGGTTCTTCTCTGGATCACGATTTCGGATGCTCCCACCCTTACCACCACCCCCGCTCCACCCTCCCATTAGTTGCAAATTAATTTCCCGCCATCTGCACACACCCTAAGCGACGCGCCTGATACATGTGCTTTTATCACCTTTAGTTGCATTTAATTTTGCCGTCTGAGTGAAAACGATGCTCCTGTTGCTGACGGACATTCCGGTGCTTTCACAGTTTAATCTCTGGCCCGATTAAAAGTCCGTGCGTTTGTGGATTAAACGTCTCACAAAGCAGCCGCCTCCTTTCCTGCATGCTGGAGCGTATAGGGGCATAGCCCCGGATAACAAGGCATCGTGTTTGATTTTGCCTCTCCCTGCTCAGATGTTAACTGAAGCAGTCACAGCAGTCACTGCAGGATAAAGGAGGAAAACTAGTTGAATAGGTATTTACATGCTCCGCTGTACGCTCACGGAGCCGCGTCTGCAGCTCACTCTCAGGTATTCGCTGCCTTTTATCTTCACCTTTTTACCTTTAGTATTCCTCCTAATCCTCTCCTCTTTCAGCTCCCAGGTGTGTCTATTTTTTTTCTTCTTCCTCTCCTTACTGAATACTTACACCTGTCATATTTGGTTTCTTTCATTCCTTCTCAAAATGCTCTTTTTATTTCTTCCTCTGCTCCTTTGTTTGCCCTTTGACTCCAGCTATTCCCTTTATCTGCTTACTTCCTCTTTGCTGCTTCTTCTCCTTTCTTTCACCAACATGCTGAGTTTGCATGTGTCAGGATGTGTGTGTGTGTGTGTGTGTGTCTCTCTCAGGGACCTTCCAGGTAACGTTCTGCCCCACAGCTCCCTCTGTCCGTTTAACAAGATCAGGAACGGGGCGGATGTTTGTGCTCAGCTGTTTCCGAGTTTGTTTAGCTCGTTCAGGTTTATTTATCTGGAAGGAGCTGCACCGGTTTTTACTGACCGTTAAGGTTTACAGTTAAATCATTCGGATCAGGCGTCGTTAAGGTCAGATGTAATCAAGTAAAAATGAGTGCATTATCAAAACCTTTTTACCTTTGCTGCCTGACATTGTGAGACTAAACACTTTCTATTTTAGATCAGCTGTGACTATCATTCTTATTTACTAAATGCCAGAATAATTAGCCGTATTTTTTTTTTTTAACACTTTCTTCAAATTTGTTTGTTAATAAGCTGTGATTATTATGCATTTAAACAACATGATGAAACCCACATGATGATCTAATAGGTTTGTGAGCTTATTTTAGGTTGGCACACAATATCTGAGTTAATTGGATGTATTTTTTTTTTTTTTTAGTAATTGCAAAATTATTTATAAGAAACTTTGAAAACATCTTTACTTTTATTCGTCTGTGAAGTACAAAACATGCATTATTTTCACATTTCAGTGTTCTGAGTTTCTCCGTTTTGTAATTGGATGTATTTTAACACCATAAACATGCCTTTTGTAGAAATATGTGGGGGAAAGCAAAAAAACTCATTATTTCCATATCAGCAACATGTTTCTGGCTACATGTGCTGTTTGGCTAAGTCTTGGTTTCTTGATGGCTTTATCAGAACATCCTTCCGCCGTCTTCAAATATTTTTAGCTGCGTTCAACACTAATTTATTGTTTTATTTGTTTGTTTTTTACTGGCGCAGAAAGCCTGAATTCCTGATACAAGTGGCTGACTGAGTTCCAGGAATTGTTTGGGAAATTTTTAGATTTCACACAGGAATAGTAAAGTCGCAGGATATCGAGCAAGGCGCCCGTCGTAATAGATCAGAGTCTCTCAGAAATGTTACCAACATCATGAGGAAACTATGCCGCAAAGGATTAATCCAAAATCTGCATTTGCCAGTGAGAGCAGGAGCCAAGTCTGACGAGAAAATGAAAACATGAGGTGCTTCAAAACTTCTGGGAACATCTCTGAGTTTGGACAGTGAGCCGTCTCCTTCAGTTCCCACAGGACCTCTGTCTATTCTCTACTTATCCTCCAGACTCCTGGGACGTTGATTTTCTAATGAAAATTACAAAATGCTTTAACTTGACTTGGACTACGGGCCGACAGTCCGGTCCCTTTTTGTCCTTAGCTCATATGAAACTCTTTGGTTTTATAATCAGATGAAGGCTGCAGTTATCCCTCGGAAGATTTTTTTCTTCCACTCAGCTTTCCATTAATATTCATGCGTTCTGTAAGGAGCCGGCTTATTTTACCAGTGACCTTTTGTAGCTTACCTTCCGTGATCAAATTTTACACTTAATGTTATTCAGCTGTTATAAATGTTGACTTTTGAAGAAGGGATGTGATTAAACAGGTGCGCGTTACTTCCCACTCCTTTCTGGAAATTGAAAATAAATCAACAAAGATCGGGTTGTATTGTTGCATATGTGGCTTTATTGCTTTGCTTAATTTATTCCTTTTTTCTTTTTTTTTTTTTTTGCCAGTCTTAGGATTTCCATATAAGAGAGATTCTTAATCTCATTGGGATTTTCCTGGTGAAATAAAGGTTAATAATAAAACATTATTTGTACATCCATCCCCCACCCCAAATACTTTATCTATGTGGTTTGTATGTTTGAAATAAATTAAAGTAAAAACTTAAGTTGAATTTTGGATTGTGTGGGCCTTTATTACGGCCATAGCAGAACATTTTTGCATTAAACACATGAGCAGAAATAAACACTTGAAACATATCTCTCTGAATGTAATGGATTTCTATTACATAAGGGATATTTTTGTTTGTTTAAATTTAATCAACTGTTGGATTATATTCTAACTGGAGTTGAAACGATTAAAGAGATTAATCGTAATGCGTCGATTATTGAAATAACTGTCAACTAATTTAGTAATGACTAACTCAAAAATGCCATTTGCTGACAGAGGAATTACGAAACTGTTAAATGTGTTTCACATTGTTATCACCTGTTAGGCTACAAAATGTTTATTGTCTTAGTTATGTAAGGAATTCAGTTATTTGTTTGCTTTCATCTTTTAATGTACTTCTAATGTTATACTTGAACACGTAAGTGGTTACATGAAAAGTCTGCAGAATGTGCCAGTTTTTTTTTGTCGGATTAATCGGCAGAATTGTTAGTTGCAGCCATATTTCCAAATAATTTGGAGATCTCTAATTGATGTTCACGTCCATAATTTAGGGTTTGGTTGATTTTAATAATAACTCTTTGAAACACATTTTTTATCCTTTGTTTTTTTCTGTCTCATCTGTCCCTTTTTTTTTTTTTGTTCCTCATAGCTACTTTCCTTTTGTCCTTGAGAATAATTGGAGTGGATGTGGTATTTTGTTTTTAGTTGTTTTTTTTGTTTTTTTTGTCAAGGCATTCTGAGTTTGCAGAAAAGCAGTCATATAAAATCAATCCATTGTGACTGCTGTTGTCTCCTCTCAGCTCAAGCTTTCCCCGTGGCGCGGTTAGTCTCCGGGTGCTCTGCTCATCTCGGGCGCCCCAGGTGATGAATGTGCTGCAGCGAGCACAGGCATATCTGCCGGTGGTGGGGACCACCATAGCGACGAAAAGGGCAGCACCCAGCGCCCGCCTGTCTCCATGGCGAACTATGAAATCGGCCTCCGGGGCTGCCGAACCCCTCCTCCCGACGCTCCTCCCCGTGGAAACGAGGCCCGGACCGACGTGGGATCAGCTGGTGTCGTGTCAGGCTGCGGAAACGCAGCCGCTAACCCCGAAGAGCTTTTGTCGCCGTTTGTCAAAGTCTGCAGCTCCTCGGGCGTCTCTCTCTGTTCACTTGAGCGCTGGCAGACGCTCTGAAAGTCACCGCCGT